AGAAAACTAATGGGTCCGACAAAATTGCGGGGAATACACAGAGGTGGCCAAAAAAGCGACACTCAATCCTTCATTACAAACAGCACTAATCACACTTTGGTAAGCTCAAGTCGACTGCTCCCAACCTAACATTTAAGAGCACATCTCAAATCTACCAGTAAACGTCATTTGCCATGGGAACCTTGTGCGCGGTTCGAGCTCAACGTGGTCCTCGGCGGATCATGGACCATTCGACATTATCCAATGGTTGGAAGGGGTCTTTCATATTCCGAGCCAGTATCTCTAGGAAGCAATCTACTAGCCAGTACAAATTAAAGGCAAAGGTCGGGCTCAGACACGCTAGAGAAGTAATTCCCGTGCCTGGAGGTTGTATGTGGGTAGCTGCACACATTGCAGCAACTTTCCACCTTGAAAAACGTCGTTAAGCCCCGGGGCCGTCGGTTTCAATCCGGGACCGCCTCGTCAATCCGGGACCGCCCACCTCCGGAAGTGGTGCGTGGCTGGCATAACGTGTGAAACAAGCTAGGTTGATTGCCGTATCAACGATAGAACGACTGACATCTCCAGAAAACTTGTTTGTACGTGCCTCTTCCCCAAGACAGCCTCCTTCACTGCTAGTGGAAAGTCTTTGCGGCTTCGACAGTTATTGTTTTCTGATTTCTTTGAAACGAAACAAAACACATGAGGAAGCAAGGCAATCACCATTACACACTATCACTCTTTGCCACTTTTCGGGGCAGACTTCGACTGCCTTTATCAAGGAACTGCCCTGAGTTCGATTGAAAAATTACTCAACCCGCGATCTATGTCATCTTCATCTTCGGACGTTTTCCCTTGTATGGCATTCGATAGCGAAAGGGAAAGGTGGTATTCTGTTGGATCAGTATCCTGGCTGTACAGTGGGTTGCTTCCGTTTTCCCACAGAGTCGAGTCGTTTCTGTCGGGTCACCTTTTTAGTGCGTGTTAACAAACGTTGTCGTGCAAAAATAATATCATGCCGCAATTTCCATGCTTCTTTGCGATCTCGGTGGCCATTCTATCCAGCTCCTAATAGCACAAGTCCACCGCGAGAGTAGCGCAGCCCGGCAGTAGCTCGTAATGGATAATGCCTTAGCAGTCTCACTAAAAACAGATCATTAAACTTAAGAGGGGTGACACTGTTTGTGCTTCAGGCGGTTACCTCACCAACGGTCGGCTTTATGGTGTCGACCTACATACAGCATTTTCTCATCCCTGAGGTGACGACGGACTTCAACCAATCATTCGTGTGCTGTACGAGAGCCATTCATTAGTCACCTCGGCACGTGCGGACAATCGTGTTCGGTCAAGCTGTGGGGTACGCATTGTCCCAGGTTGTGCACCTTTCCCAACTGATGCAGGTGACCGGCAGTGATGCTAAAGGATACACCTGAGACTTATGCAACTTCACGCGCAGTTTGCCTTGGGTCTGCCCACACCAGCTTACGCAAACGATCATTGTCGACTTCGAGTTCACGTCCCGATCAAGTGGAACTTTCAATCTCTGTGATCTATTGCATAAGCGGCGCCCCGACTCGTCAGACCATCTATTACGTGGATACCCTGCGTTCTCCACACGCAGCATCAATGCGACGTCTGGATTAGGCTGCTGATTCGCCAAATATCAACCCGTATAGTAAAGGTCATGAAAGTACTGTTGTGAAAGTTGCATATTGCAGAAACGTGATAAGCTACAGGTAATAGCTAATAATTATACTGAACTTGCACATATATGTTCTCCTTATATATGCACGAGCCAAGTTGCTGGCAGGCGTTTAGCAGGTTCAAAAAAGATTTTTTCAAACCGCAAGGACTTTCCCCACACCTAATTAATATTTATATTTTTTTTATTTATCCTATTCCTTTTTTTTCTTTTTTCATCTTTATATTCTGTCCGCATATCGTTGTGATCGTGTGAAGGTGCTTCTTTTTTTCAGCGCCGATTTCCATGTAAGCCGGACTGCGACCCTAAGATCTATCCTCATTGTAGTGCGGACTGCAAATGTGATTATATCTATCCAGCTTGTTCAGCGATTTTGCAATCCACCACCTATGCCTCTATTTTTGAATACATGCAGGTCAGCCAACTGATTGTTTGATTGTTCTATTTTTGTGGACGATAGACAAACACGTATACTCTTTTTCAAAAAAATATCAGAAGAGCGTCGGGTGCAGACCATACACCACACAGTGACGACGGACTCCACAAAATGTAAAATGTTTTCTGCCTAATGAAATGATTAGCCTGTTGCAGTTGTATTCTATCAGTTGTCACTTAATTACAACTATCATTTACCAAAAATCAGCTATCACTATGAACCACCACTAACCAGATTTATTTCACCTAGGAGGCTGTCGTCGTCACGCGTGTAATGGTCTTGCACCGCGCTCTTCTCGTTTCTGAAAGCGGGGTATGCTCTGGTTGGAAACAACACCCCTTTATTGGTCATATTCTAATAACGCATATAAAACCCGAAATTGCCTATCACATATTTCCAAATTTTCCGCTCTCTCATTCTGTTCTGTTCATTCGCGCCAGGATGTGACTTGTCACTGGTTGCTAAGAGTTAATTAACTAACTCACTTACTTATATAATTGTCGTAATTGATGAATCGTAGCATCACAGCATAAAAAATCCGATATCATTCTTGTTGAGCGCTACGTGTGACACGATTATATTGTTCCCATCACGCGCTCACGCATACCGTAACCCGTGATGGCGCCGGAGCGAGCTGCAGGCCTCCAGCGCGCAACACTAGCCCTAAGGCAGCGACTGCATTTGGTGAGACTATCCGGTTCCCAAGGCAGCGAATCCAAAATTGGAGGAGGTGCAACCAGAGTCAACCCTGCGTTGCGCAGTTCTCAACGGCCACGTTGCGCAGTTTCGCCCGATTAGACACGTTCTCTCGCGCGAACATTCACACTCGCATGCTCGAGCCGTCTGCGTCTCCGCCCATACAGCGTGCGTTGAGGATCTCTCAACGTGCCGTTGCGAACTGCGCAACGCAGGGTTGACTCTGGTCGCAACTGAAAGGAGATCATCCCCGGGCTGCTGCTTCATTCTACGCGAGGACAATCCGCCATCCTGCACCTCCTGCATGAACGGCGCTCGGTATAGTTCGCGAGATCGCTCGAAATTTTCTCGGCCGGCAATGTGCTCGCGAGGGGCAGTCGCCGCGCGCGGCTTAGCGAGTAGATGCACTTAATCATTCCAGGTTCTAGGGACTCATTTAGCCTCTCGCGACTGGCCCCTCCAGCAGGGTCAACCGTTACGTTGGACCGATATTGGAGCGACGTTGGACCGATGTTCACCGCTCTCCGCGCCGGCATTCACTCTCGCCACCCGCGAGCCGTCTGTGTCTCCGTGCGTACGTTCACTCTCGGCATTACTCTCGTCGTCGCGTTGGACTTTGTCCAACGGACGGTTGACCCTGCTCGAGCACATGCGCACTTTGTCTCTTAGGGGAGGAACGCAGAGAAAATGAGAACTGGGGGGCGAGCACGCATGGAAAATTGATGACACGAAATATGCGAGACAAATTTGCGCGTGTGGAGGGTTGCTGTGTGCGCCACTGCACATAACATTGAACCATGCACGGATGAAGTTTCGCGTGTTTGTCTTTATAACCGGCGGGCCTTTTTTTTTTTTTTTTGAAAAAAAACAAAAAGGGCCGGAGCAGAGTCAACCCTGCGTTGCGCAGTTCGCAACGGCACGTTGAGAGATCCTCAACGCACGCTGTATGGGCGGAGACGCAGACGGCTCGAGCATGCGAGTGTGAATGTTCGCGCGAGAGAACGTGTCTAATCGGGCGAAACTGCGCAACGTGGCCGTTGAAAACTGCGCAACGCAGGGTTGACTCTGGCGGATGAGAACATTGGTAATTACACCACGTAAGTGAAACTGCTTGCAAGTGCGACAGACGCGCTCGCGCGAAGCAGGATATCAGATACGTTCCAGAGGCCGAGTACATTGCCGTGTCATACACCTCCAATTGTGTTCCAGGTTATGGTATCACGGATGTCCTAAATATGCGGCATATCACTACGCTTCCGCAGAGTTATATGACTCCAAAGCAGAGAAGAGGAAGAAAATCGTGGGTGAAAAATATGGGCCATTCCGATTGAACTCTATTCCATACTGAAGATTACGGAAATCACTTCTGTTTTGTTTAGCTGGTCTCAACATTAACAATCCGTATGATATCCCAGTACCCGTCACTGTCTCTCCTCGAACAGTACCGTTCGCTGCTGGGAAACCTACGCAGGAACAAATCTACTCTGACAAGTGACCAATCATTTTTTGCTATTTATTTATATTGTTTTGTTTGCTTGTATTCTTATGCGATGTTTCAGGTGTTGCGTCACAGTCTTCGTATCTTTGGCCCAATCATCCTCGGCTTGCGCATTCCTCCTCCTCTACACTGCAATCTGCTCAGCTCTCCGGAACGGACGTCACGCACGAAAACAAAGAGAAAAACGTAAGAATTGTCGTTTCGTTTAGTCAGAGTTCAGCTATATGTAATATTATTGAGCGAGGTCGTATGATAGCAGGTAGTGGCATTCTTTGACGCATTACGCAATTCAGGAGATCGTTACAAATCGGCAAACGGCCTTTGTGACCATCAAAGATCGGTTAGGTACTGCTGAGTGGAATTTTTCAATGGGATAGGCACACTGATCTGAACATTGGCTGGGCTCGTGAATCATGATCCGGGCCTCAACCCATCCAGTTCTTCATTTCGAGGATGCGAAGTTATGGTTGAAACACTTTGCCTCAACCAGGAAACGAACTTTGACCACAGTCTTTTCGCGCAGGGGTGCTACAATGACATCAACGAAGTCAGGTTCACCTGGAACTTCTAAAACTTCCAGCTCAGCAGTTCGCTGTCAGTGTCGACTAAGCGGCTCATCACATTACAAATTTGAGTACTGCAAAACAATGGTATATGTACGGCTGAAGGCTGAGCTGGGATGGGACGTAGTTTTGATAATGAAATGGTAACACCCTTGCCTGACAAGCGGAAGGCCCGTGTTCGATTCTTGGTTGGGTAAGGCGTTTTGCCCATGACCTAGCATCCTTGTGATATCTTCATCCTCGAATTGGCGTGAAAACCAGTATTCAGGAAAACAAAATTATTCAATAACCCATCAATTTTTACAGGAGGTCGAATGCATGGCCCATTAAAAAAAGTTTGATCAGCGTGAATTTTCTTCGTGTGCACGCGATACCGTAACATATTTACAGAAAAACAAGAAGAAGTGGTCGAAAAGCTCAACATAAAACCACGTATCGTGCCATGAGCACCCGCGACCTCTATCGTACACTCAGGTGAGAATAAGCTCCTACCACTGCGTATTTGTATTTGTTTGTAAAGCAGCAAATAGCTGGGGAACTAGCCCTGTTCGCGGATGAATCTGCGCTCGACCTGAACGGGCGCTCTTCCACCAGGCTAGGGTCGGCCCAGTACCAGTACAGAAGAGGAAAATGAGATCCTGTTACCTCAGTGTGGTCCACGGATCAAACCCAGGGTCGGAACCTGCTCAGGCCAGCCACGCTTCTCATCACTCAGGATATTTGATAGCGTATTTGTTAGGAAGCTGAACCTGCAATGGGAGGACGAAAACCCGGTCTGTCTGACCATCGGCCTGCCCTGCAAGTCGCTGTAAAAAACACATTACATTCAACTGTCACAACGATTTCCATTTAGAATCAAATGAGTGGCGCTTAACAAAAAATAGATTGATCATTCGCATCCCAATAATTGGCGCTAAACTTGTCTGGAGAGACAAAGACATAAATCTCAATCTCGGTAGTTTTTCGCGAACCATTATAGGCAGATTACCTACTCAAATGCTTAAAAGCGGATTTTGTGATGGAAGGTGGCTTTTTGAAAACAAGGATAGAGGTGGTCAGTGGTACACGAAAGAAGGAAGAACCATGAGAAACGGCCCAGAACCCGAGAAATGGGACCCCTTCCTTGCCCGTTGATTTGAGCATTGATGCGACTCTCATCGCTGTGCCCTCTTCAACACTACGCTCTCTCTGCTATCTAATCACTCGCCACGTATAGACCTGCGGCGAGTGATTAGATAGTCGGTGGGCGTTCCGGGCCAATTGCGCCAAAGGGAAGGCCATGCTAGATCGCCGGGGCATATCCTTCGATGCGAATTGCGTGTAGGTCCGCACCCTAAGGGGTCCGCCTGTTTCTCTACTATTTAAAGACGGCGATTAATATAAAGAGGGAGCGCATCGAGGAAGCATATGCGCCACACAAATCAGTTACTTGGCAGTACTTAGAAAGCGCTCGCCCCCAAAAGCGATCCGCCCACTACTTTACTTGGTTATTTGGACGACCCGCGTTGTCAGCAGCGCCACAACTGGAGCATCTCGAAAGCCTCACTGTCACAGCGATTTCCAATCAAAATCAAATGAGTGGCGCTTACCAAAAAACGGATTGATCATTCGCATCAGACTGATTGGCGCTAAGCTTGTCTGGAGAGACAAAAGCATAAATCTCCATCTCGGTAGGTTTCGCGAGCCATTATAATCAGGTAACCTACTCGAATGCTAATAAGGGATTTTATGATGAAGAGGACACTATCAGGATCGAGTTGGTTTGACATTGTGCCACCAAACGCGTTGCAATGAACTCTTTCATACGTCCGCTTTCTGAGCTGTTACCTGTTCATGAGTGAAAACCAACGGCCAAAAAGGGGTCCCGTTTTGCGTTTTCTTGACGGATTTCTCTGCTTTTTTCGCCACTGGCGTACCATTGAGCACCACCACGTCCCTCTAAACCCTTCTTGAACCTATCGTAATCGCTGCCTTTAGGTCTCGCCTTGTTCGACCCTCGTTCTTATGTGGAAAGCCAGGAGCAAGACAGATGCATGGCTCAACCCAATTAATTGGGGGTGCAAAATTCTATCCCCTCATATGTTGAATTTTTTCTTCAGAGCAATCAACGGATTGACGGCCGAACCAGTTCGAGTCACCAGTGATCCGGCATCGCTTCACGGAGGAAACCAGGACCGAGGTGGAAATTCTGAGCAAAGGCCTCGGTGACTAATTACATTACTACTTACCTCCAAGAAAGAGCAGCATTTTATTGTGAGATCATAATAATTAAGAAATTACTAAGTAGTTCCATTTAGTGCTCAGCAAGCGGCCATCGTTCCCGTAGTACCGTCGGATGCTGTCTTGGAGGCAGAGAACACTTTTAAGGTAGAACTCCGTTGATACACTTTTAAGGTAGAACTCCGTTTTTCATATTTGCCACTGAAAAATCTCATTTTCACTGTTTTATAGAGATTTGATGGCTTTACGGATAGTGCTGGCGTTTTGCGTCGACCGAGAAGTCGCAGTCCCTTCAGTAAACCCGGTGGGGTTGTCACAGCTTTTGAGATCATTTCCAGTTTCTTAGGGCTGGTAGCTAATGAACAACTATCTAGGTCTATGGGAACCGAATCCTGACAATCCTCACAATCGAGATCACGCAAACAAATACTTCTATGCTCCACGTTCAGTGTCAGCTGATTGGCTGAACGGACAGGTAAGGCAGTGAAGTTTTCTTGATTGTAATGCATATCAATTAAAAGAACTAATTTTAAAGGTCGCATGGGCGCGCTCATTGGGCAGTTCCAGCGGCTCAAGTGGGTGGTACCGATGGATTCAGTACGGTTCATTTCCCTACGATCGGTTCATTCCTCAACATACCTGATGACTACGACTAACGCGGTCCTTCTCACTTTTTCACACTGCTGCTTATATAGCTTCACTAGACTCTAGTCCTGATTTTGTTTGTGGATGACGGCTCGCCAATTCTGGGCCTTGAATTCCTTGAAGTTTATTTCTGCACGTTCGTGCGTAATTTGGTATTGTTCATTAAGGATTATTATTTTATTATACAAAATAAAGATTTTCACGTATCTTGAGCGGTTTGCACAAAGTTCCATCCAACAACAAGTAACGATAGCTGAATCCGGGGAACAGTGATCAGGCGGATCCGAGTACGAGTTTGTGCGCTGGGTAGTGAGGTGCGCACGCATTTGCGTTTCATTCAGAAACGTCGTGTTAGATGAACACTCATTTGATCAGTGCAATCACTGAAAGGTCAGCGGGTTCGCTGATTTGAGCTTTCTTTGTAGTGAAAGTAATGGGATCAACAGTGAAGCACTGAAAACGCCAAGAGAAATGGCCCAAACCCGCGATGTAGGAGTCCCTTTTGCCTGTTAATCCCCGCTTTGAACGAAATTTCACCATGGTCGACGTCACTAAAGCTTGATCCTAAGCCAAAATTCGAACCCTAATCTCTTGTACGGGTCAGTAGTTACAGTATGCACTACCGGGGAAGCATTCAAGCCTTGCCAAGCAACAATAACAACACAACCCGTTTAACAGAGTTAGGAAGAGATAGGACACGGACCATCGGTGAGGCAGCTGATAGGACCGAAAGGCTGGAAGGGAACCGCTGTCGACGACACATTGGGGAGCCGTTGCAAAGGAATCTTTTGTCGCGATAAAGCCTAGGTCTTATTGAAGCAACGGTCACTACAAAACTATCTGATGTATCTCTAACTTCTATCTGAAAATACCGTATCCCGCCTTCCTTCCAGAAAGAAGTTTCAGTGCGGACTCTCCAGGCTCGAATAGTCTCGAACGGGCAATGACTTTGGTCTCGTTTCCTCAAAGGAGGATTCCACGATAAGAACGAAGGTCGATGAAGGGGAAAATTGCCTAGTGGGGAGACAGGCGGACCTGAGGAGGGCGGACTGACACGCAATTGGCAGCGAAAGATTTGACCTCGGCGATCTAGCATGGCTCACTCTTGGCGCGGTTGGCGCGGTACGCCCACCGACTATCTAATCACTCGCCGCAGGTCTATACGCGGCGAGTGATCAGATAGGCAAGAGAGGTGTAGTGTTGTTGCACACGAGCAGCCACTACGAGCCTCAGTTCTCTCAAGAGGAAATATCACCCACGTACAACTCGAAGGAGGTAGCCCATAAGTTCTCCGGGTTCTGAGCGTCACTTATACATGTATTTTTTCCTCTTCTTTCTTGTGTGCGTTGAACTTTAATACGGAAAATCTTCCTCGCGTATCTCTGACGAAACCACATGATAGTCTACTTTCAGCCATTAATATCAATGGCTTTGAGACTCGATAAGTCCACAAATTGATTTAATAATGAAAAGAACTGAAGTATTGCTTTCGTTTTGATTAGAAATTCGAAAACTCGAAAAGGCTGCTACGCGTTCGAATTGCCCACGGACGTCTTTCACGAATGCTGGCGACGGGGATGCTCAAACTTGGTTCTTGGAGTGCATTCACTAGAAGCTCTTTCTGGCCTTCTGCTTCGTTGCATTCACATCTTACACTTCTACTCCATCCTATTCCATCGATCGATTTGTCTCCACTCTCCGAAATCGCGCGCTTTAACCCGATTCTCTCATTGCGTCGCCTGGTACGTAGCCGGCCAAACGCCGTCTTCTTTCCATGCCTCGCCTGGCTCTGCCTCCTGGTCCTTCGATGGTCCATAACGTGTAGTTTTTGTACGTTTGTTTCTCTTCAGAAACCGAATCTTCATGCGTGAAACTTTGTGTGCTATTTCCAGTGATCACAACTGACATATTCATGTTAGGAAAGAGTGCAAGAATTTTCCGCGCAAGATTCCTTTAATTTGAATGGTTGCCTCCCCATCGTAAAATCTGCCTTTAAGAAGTACGTGTCCCAATAGGCATGTTTTTCAGTTTTTATCTGTTTTTTTTTTGTTCATAATCAGTTCCAGTTCAAAAAGAAGCATGTTGGACATCCACTTCATCGCCTACGCTGCTTGAAATGTAGCTAGCCGATGTTCAGGGTACGCTTCGCAACCCGTGGACTATAGAAACTCATAGAAAGGTGTATATGAGTGGGAAAATTGACAAAATCTACGCAAAATTCGCCGAGCGGTATTGATCCCGGTTCACATGAGTTGCAATTGTTTTTCCCACGTCCATCCATGTCATGTGAATTTCACAATCACAATACGAAGACATGCATTTTTATCAAGTTGATGTACATCTTCCAAAATTAGATGAAACAGAAATAACTGGTTCAAGTTCCCCTCAGTTCCTTGGTGTCAGTCAGTAGTGGTTCGCTAATATATCATCGAGTTTTTGCGAGATGTCAGCGAAGGCGATACAAAAAGGTCGTCCACAACGCCAGGCTTTTATTTAGCTTTCAACATCTCTCCCAAGCCGTTCTGTTCATTGACGCAATCTGCGACTTTCTCGACGAAAAATTCTTCCACCTAATATTCCTCACTTCATACACTACGGCAGTAAAAACCTGACACCCGAATGCACAGGACGTTCTGCCTCGTCGCACTGGCGGCGTTTTGTAAAGGTAAGGGTTCCCTTTTCTAAATTACTTTGTACTCATGTCGAAAATATGCTCCTATTACAGCTAATTCCACGCCTGACGTGTTCAATGTTGCATGCTCCAGGCATCCAGAGCTACCTCAATGCAGGGTAGGACCTTTAGCACTTTGTGTTACCTTTCTGTCTTTCCCTAACTTATCCTTCCGAAGAGGTGCTAGCGCTTTCTAAAAATCCGACCCTTTCGAAAATTGTGTTCCAGTTGATTTCTCAATGTTTCGAAGCTTTGCTATGTTCGCAACTGGATTACCGTAGTACTGGGATAATAAGCAAGTAGCAGCACTAAGCTTAAAGGCATGCCCCAGGATCACATTGGTGTGGCTCTTGCACACGAATGCGAATGTATTGGTGCGAAATGGGCCGGCAGTAAAGAAAAAAGGAAAAGAATCCGTCGAAAACGCTCAGGTTAAGGGCTCACTCACCTTCCTAATCGGCTGTGCTAAGGGAATGAGAGACTAAGCGCGGAGAGGAGAGTATGAGGCGAGAGAGCGCTACAGATGAGAGAGCGCCAGACAACAGCCTGATAAGAGAAAAAATCTGCAGCTTCAGCAGCTTACTTTGCAAGGCCCAAGCGCTCTTGTCGGTTGGTTTCCGTGCACGGAACGCCACATTTGTGATTGTCCTCTAGGGGTCTATACTACAGACCGAAGGGAAGCGTTCACACGACCTCTGCCTGGGTTGTGCCTTTAAGTAAGAATTGAGTCGTCAAGAAATTAATGCAATTTTACGATGTTTATCCCTGAAGGGAGATGCCACACCGTGATCAATACAAAACCCGTTAAGATTTGCAAGCATTTCCAGCAAGATGCAAATTGAACTACCTATCCGGTCTAAGATTCTAGACTTCTGAGGCGATGAAATCTTAGAAGATCGTCCCTGAACTGCTTTTATTTTCAAAGTGCACCCTGGCCGCGGAGCTATCGTACGTGGAAAAGTGGAAAACGGTAACAAAAAGGGCGACAGAAACGTCGCATAAAACTTGCAAAGTTTCAAAGATCGTTTCGTTGAATTCTTGCAAAGTTGTTTGTGCAACATTTGGCATGACATACACGTTTTCATGAAGAAAAATTGGTCCACTTTCTCGAGCGGCAACATTGTCCATATTTATTGCATTTTACATGGCGTTCCATGAATAATGCGCCACCGTTTCTATTAGGTTGTCCCATAAGTTCGTGCCACTTTTTTGTGCCTCATGCCAGAACTTCATTTAGCGATTTCTGAATATGACCAAGTAGGCTACGAAGAGCCCACTTCGTGTAGTAACCTATACCCGAACCATGCCCATCCTAGCTACTTTCTCGAAGATGCAGCCATGTTTTCCATGTTTTGATTTATGAACCTCTACTGGCATCGCATCGGTATCGAAGCCAGACAGCTTGTATGCGAATACATATCTTTTCTCGTTCACCATCAAAATGTTAAACCATGCTGCTCTGAATAATGCAGTCTCGAGAAAATCCTGACCTCGGGAGAGCGATCGGGCCGACTTGGACCTGCTGTGCTCTACCATTGAAGGCAACCCGCACGAATTACTTTGCTGTGACACCACCACACTCAGACATTTCAGATACACGGTGAATTGAGGTCTGCCCTTCTTTGGAAAATTGTAGAGGCTTGGACAAAGAAAATCCCATGAATTGACCGTTAATCATAAGAGTGCAACACGAGTTCTGTTGACATCTTCTATTCCTATTCCATCCCTACGCGGTGGCTGAACAACGGCGCTACTGCTGATGAGAAGTGGTTGTTCTATGCTAACGACTTGCGGAAGCATCAGTGGCTAGATGGTTCAGAAGGGAACAACTGTCAAATACAGCAAAACGTTGCTCAGGTATGGGAAGCAAACCTCGAAACTACTACTAGGTATTTTCCGCAGCTTCGGCCTTGTAACAGCCTAGTCTTCTTGATCATCGCCTGAAGCTAGCTAGAAAACTATACTATGTTCGCCAAATTCATCAAATATACCTGACACAAGGCACAACGAGACACGTGTTATTGAAAATAGCACTTCTCTAATTCGAAGCTATTGAAAACCCACCCAGGCCTCACACGTGCGCGATGATCAGCCTCCTTCGAAAGGCCAACTGCGCTTCTTGCTAAGGAATCATCTTACGGACGAAAAATACGATTCAGAAAAGGAACTCTAAATCGACCTCACTGCCTTTTCCTGTCTGAAACTGCCGACCTTCTGGGCACTTCGTCCGACCTCTATCTTTGTCATGCAACAAGTCACTGATAGTGACGGTCCATATATCGACGACGGATATTGTTATTTGTGGAGATAACGTTAACTCAAAAAAAAAGTTTGAAAGTG